CCATACACCTGTAGTCCTAGCTCCTTTAAAGGCCGAAGGACCACTTGGACCAGGAACTTAAGGCCACACTGAGAGATTGCATCCCCCAAAATAAATTATTAGGCCAGGCATGGTGGTACATACCTGTAATTCCAGCTACTCAGTAGGCTGATAAAGGATGCTTACAAATTCAAAGCCAGCCAGAGCAATTTACTGAGACTCTATCTCAAAATAGAATTTTTAAAAAGGCTGGGACATAGCTCAGTAGTAGAGTGCTTACCTAGAATTCATGAGGCCCTGGATTCAATCCCCAGTACCAATAAACCAAATAATTAATAAAATTTTAAATAGGTATGCAGGGGAAAGAAATGAATCCATATGCTTAAAAGCTCTTTATGGACTTAAAACTTGGATATATTTTACATAAGTTCCTTGAATTCGTCCTCAAATTAATTTTACTGGTATTATATTAAATAACAATTACTATATTAAATAGTTGTGTTATATATACTATGTAGCAATTTGTAACAAAATTGATACAATAATTAAACAAACACAAAGAGATAGAAAAGTAGAAACCTTAAGAAAAGGTAAATGGAAATTATTGAGTTTGGACAGTCTTATCACCAGATACTACTCAAAACTTCTGTATGCTATCACTCAAAACTGCAACATCTTGCTGACTTTATATAAAGTATCTGTGTGAATTTATAGCTAAATGGATGGACCTTGAGACCATACTCCTAAGTGAAATAAATCATCAGACACATATGTTTAAATACAGCATTGTTTCTCTTGTGTAAGAAACCAAAGCTGGAAATAAGGACTGAAATGTATAGTGGATGTTGGGAAACGGAAGAAAGTGTTAAAATGGGAAGGGGAACAAGGGAGAAAGGAAGGAAGGGACAAAGAAAAGTAAAAATGGAAAAAATGGAAACAAAACTTCTGTACATAGGGAGGAGAGTTGTTTGAGGGGGGCAATGGGATAAATTTATTTTAAAAATTAATTAACTGTGTGATTAACTGAAGTCATTAACCAAAATAAACTTAATCAAAAAAAGAAAGTCTCTGCACACATATCCTTGCAGACATATATACAGGTACAATGACATGAGGCATGTGATGAGAATATAACTCTAAGTCAGCCTGTGTTTTCTGACACAGGCAGAGAATGGCTGAATAAACTTATTAAAAATAATACTTAAAGCAATAACATCATTTATTACTACTAAAAATTATTATTTAGCCATTCTTCCTTTGATATCAGGAAAAACATTATTATCTCAGTCTTCTAATCTCATTTTCATTAAATAATTATAATTTATATAAAAGGCTATAAAAATATTGCTTCAAACACACCATTTATTATACATTACTTTCAAGTATATGAATTCAAAATAAACTTTCTCTGAGAAAAGTGACAAGACAGCAAAAACACTGGATGTAGGGGCCAAGGATTTAGGTCAGTGGCACCGTGCCTGCCTTGCAAATAAATGCAAGGTCCTGAGTTTGATCCTGGTACCAAAAAAAAAGAAGAAGAAAAGAGTGGGAGCTATTAAGGCTCTGCAGAAACTTTGAATGAAAATTACAGTAAACAATGAGAATCAGAATATTAAAAATGTTTTCCCACAATAAAACTACACATTTTCAGTTTTTCCCTTTGAGGGAAATGAAAGCTAAAATTACTTTTGCATAATTGCGAGTAAAACAATTCCAATGCCTTCGTCAGAAAAAAATGCAGAGCTTCCCAATCTCAGTTAGTATGTACTTCTCAATGTAGATGACTTTTTCTTGCCTATTACTTTTCCCCAGGCTCACTATTCTAGTCACACTGGACTTCTTTCTGGTCTGAAAACAAACCAAAATTATTTATGCCTTAAGAACTTTAAAAGAAATAGAAATAAGGGGTCAGGGGTTTAGTGCAATAGTGCTGTGCCTGCCTCATAAGCACAAGGTCCTGGGTTTGATCCCCAGTACAAAAAAAAAAAGAAAAAAAATGCAAGAGACCCAGACCCAATTAAATTTGAATTTTACAGGACACAAAAATCAATACTTTTCCTATACATCAGTACTGAACCCACTAAGGAGGTAATCAGGAAAAACAATTCCATTTACACTAGCTTTTTTTTTTTAATGAGATGCCTAGGAATAACCTAATCATGAAAATGAAGACCTCTATAATGAAAATTATAGAACACTTGAAGAAATTGAACAAGACATTAGAAAACAGAAAGATCTCCCTTGTTCATAAAATGTTAAAATGGCCATATTACCAAAAACAATCTACAAATTCAAATTCTCCTATTAAGATGTTAACATTTTTCAAAGATATAGAAAAATAATCTTAAAATTCATATGAAAACACAAAACACCTAGAATACAAAAAACACCAAAGCGGTCCTAGAGGCATCACAATATCAGATCTGAAATTATATTACAAAACCATTACTATAATAAAAACACTATGGCACTCATACTCTTAAGTGAAATAAATAGGACATACATGTAAATACCGAATAGTTTCTCTGCTGAGAGAAACTCAAACTGTAATTGAGGACCAAAACGTGTAATAGCTAAAGTGAAATAGGAAGAGAAGGTCCAAAGAGGAAGGGGCAGGTGGGAGAGAAAAGGGAAGAACGGAAAGAAAAAATATGAGAAAAGCAAAAAATGGAAACAAAATTGTAAATAGGGAGGGGTGGAGGGGTTGAAGGGAGGGCAGGGAAATGGGCAAAAAATAAGAATCAAGATATATCATGTACAGGTACAAATTCCCAATGATCAATGTCATATTGTACACCTAAAATGTACCAGTAAACTTAATGAATTAAAAAAAAAAACACTATGGCACTGGCACAAAAACAGAAATCTAGATCAATGGAACACAAGATGCAGAAACAAGCACTTATAGCTATCTGATTTCTGACAAGAGGGACAAAAACACACACTGGAGAAAGAAAGCCTCTAATAAATAGTGTTGGAAAAACAGGATATCCATCCATATACAGAAGATTGAAAGTAGATCCTTATTTCTTCCTAACCCCCCTTTATTGAAATCAAATAAAATTGATTTAAGACCTATACATAAAATAGGAAACTTGAGCCGGGCATGGTGGTCCACGCCTGTAATCCCAGCACTTGGGAAGCTGAGGCAGGAGGATCTCTGTGAGTTCTAGACCAACCTGGGCTACATAGTGAGTTCCAGGTCAGTCTCAACTACATAGTGAAACCCTGTCTCAAAAAAAAAAAAGAAAAAAGAAAGAAAGAAAAAAAAAAGGGAAACTTTGAAACTGGGGGAGAAGGGTGAGAGGAATCCACCTGCTCTGTCCCTAGGGATGTAAACTAGTATAGCTACTATGGAAATCAGTATGTCATTCATCAAAAATCTAAAGCTAGGCCATTTGAGCAATACTAACCCCAGAAAACTCATAAAAGAATTAAAGACAGCATACTGTAATGATATATGCATACTCATGTTTACAGCAGCAGAATCCACAACAGCTAAACTGTGGAAAAGGATTAAATGCTCATCAGCCAATAAACCGATAAAGACAATGTGGTAATTATTAAGGACAAGGTGGAGTATTATCAGCCATAAAAGGATGAAATCATATCATTTGCATAAAAATGGATAAACTGGAGACTATCGTGTTAAGCTAAATCTATATTTTAGATGACAGGAAACTAAAAGACTTTTAAGAATTGGGGAAGATCAAGGGCTGGGGAAGGAAAGGCAGAGAAGGGCAATGGGAACTAAAAAAAAAAATACACACACACACACACACACACACACACACACATATGCAAGCCGAGCATGGTGGCACACGCCTGTAATCCCAGCACTCCGGAGGCTGAGGCAGGAAGATCACTGTGAGTTCGAGACAAGCCAGGGCTACATAGTGAGTTTCAGGTCAGTCTCAACTACATAGTGAGACCCTGTTTCAAAAACAAACAAACAAAAAATATATATGCATGTACAAATACACCACAATCTCATCAATCGTTGATATGCATTAATTTAAAATTGAATTCTGACAAACAAAAGAATTGCCTTTTTACGTAGAAGGCATTCATCATTACACCTTAATTGAAATTTAACTGGGAGTCCTGCATTCTTATTTGCAAAATCTGGCAATTCTAAATAAAAAGGTTTTCCTCTTTACTAATTAAAAACAAACTGACCGGGGACTTAGCTCAGTGGGGCCGCGCCTGCCTGGAAAGCACAAGGACCTGAATTCCATTCCCAGTTTTAAAAAACAAAACAAAAACAAAAAAACAGCTTTCCACAAGTTCTCAGTACTACTCGTTTCTGTCAGTTTTCTAAACTGTGGCTTTCAGAGGTCTGTAACTTAATCTCTAAGAGACGGACAGAGATCTACCTGACAAAAATTGAGGCTTAAGTAAGGTGTTGTGTGTCGTGTTTTTAGCATAGCTAGCGTTTAGTAAATGGAAGTTATTTAACTACCATCAGGGCTCAGCTCAGGCGCAGACCCAACCCGAGTTATCTAACCACCACACCTCAGAAAAGGAAGAGCAGGGCCGGCAATACCGCGGAGAAGAAATGAGCAACGCTTTCAATCCGAACGCGACTCCTCCCACGCCTTCTGGGAGCCCGCCCAGGCCTCGACAGAAGGCCGGGAGTTGAGGTAAGAGCCAACAACCGCCACTTCCGGCAAACGGAGCCACTTCCGGTTTGGTGCACCTTCCCTCTCTCTTATTAGTCTGCACTTTCAACAAAACTCTGGAATCTGGCATTTTCATCTGTCACCCCTATATTTTCTTCACTGTTCCCTCATTCTACCCCAGGTTAAATGTAAAAAATAAGCTGCTAGAAATTGGAGACAGGCATGGCTGCAGAAAGAAGGAGCAGGTAGGAGGGCTGGCGAAAGTGCACAGCGGGAGCACCGCACACCCTTTCCTCGCCGGACGGAAGTTGCAGGATCTGAACAGCTCCCGGAGCCGGTGGCTGTAGCTTCCGAGCCTCAACTTGATACTGGGTCACTCCTTGGCCCCTGGTCCTATCAGCTTCTGGGCCGCCAGGTTCATGTGGAGGTTCTCAGGCGTCCGCGCCGCGCTTCGAGGGGTCCGGACCGCGGTGGAACAGTGCAGCCCGGCCGAGGCCGTGACTGAAAGGGCGGTGGGCGCGATGGAGCGAGCCGTAGTGCGCTGTGTGCCCTCCGAGCCCAAGCTGAGCCTGTCGTTTGCGCTGGCAGACGGCAGCCATAAGAACATGCAGCGCGATCAAAGCGAGCCGCTGGGTCGGGTCCTGAGCCGGATCGCTACCAACGCCCTCAAGGGTCACGCAAAGGCTGCCGCGGCCAAAAAGAGCAGGAAGAACCGGCCGAACGCGAGCAGCGGCGCCGACTCTTCAGGGCCTGGTCCTGAGCCGGCTGCGGCCTCTGAGCCGGTGGTGAAGCTGTATTACCGGGAGGAAGCAGTGGCTGAGGATGTACTCAATGTGGACGCCTGGCAGGACGGCGCGGTGCTTCAGATCGGCGATGTCAAGTACAAAGTGGAGCGCAACCCGCCAGCCTTCACCGAGCTGCAGTTGCCGCGCTACATCATGGCGGGCTTCCCGGTGTTCCCCAAACTCAGCCTCGAATTTGGGAACCCAGCGGGCTGCCTCTTCCGCTGGTACAAAGAAGCCAGGCCCGGAGCGGCGGAGTTTGAGGGCGGTGGCCCCTCTTCCTTGCCTCCCTCTTCTTTGTCTGCCACTTGGACGGAGGCCGGTGTGCAGGAGCGCGTCTACACCCCATCCAACGCTGACATCGGGCAGCGGCTCAAGCTGCACTGCACACCTGGCAACGGGCAGCGCTTCGGGCCGAGCCGGGAGTTGGAAAGCGTGTGCCCGGTGGAGGCGGGGCCTGGCACCTGCACTTTTGACCACCGGCATCTCTACACCAAGAAGGTGACCGAGGACGCTCTCATCCGCACGGTCTCCTACAACATCCTGGCAGACACGTATGCCCAGACGGAGTTCTCCAGGACTGTGCTGTACCCATACTGTGCCCCCTACGCCCTGGAGGTCGACTACCGCCAGAACCTTATCCAGAAGGAACTCACGGGCTACAGCGCAGACCTTATCTGTTTGCAGGAGGTTGACCGCGCAGTGTTTTCAGACAGCTTGGTACCGGCTCTAGAGGCCTTTGGGCTAGAGGGCGTGTTTCGAATCAAGCAGCACGAAGGTCTGGCCACTTTTTACCGGAAGTCCAAGTTTAGCCTCCTTAGCCAGCATGACATTTCTTTTCAGGAAGCCCTGGAGTCCGACCCACTTCACAAAGAACTGCTGGAGAAGCTAGTTTTGTACCCACTGGCTCAGGAGAAGTTGCTTCAGAGATCTTCTGTCCTGCAGGTGAAGTAGCTCCGCCTGTCTCCATGAACTCAGGCATTTTTAGGGACCTGAAAGGGTGGGGTGAAGAGATGATATTGAAATGAAACTATCCTGGTTTTATTGAAACTTATATTTACTCTTGTATCCTCGGTACAAGGTTTAGTATTCATTCATTGATTCAGCACATTTATTGAACGCCTATATTGTGCCTGCCACACTGCAGGTTGCTTTCAACTTGGTAAACAAGGACTTTCTTAATGTTTACAGTCTAGGGAGACACATGCTAAATACAAGAATAATGGTAGCAGCTAATTTTTTTCTTACTATATTTGTCAGTCACTGACAATTTAAAGGACCTAAGGTTTAAGTGTTTTATGTGCGTTTTATGAGGTACTTCATAATTATTAGCCAGTATTTTGTATCACTGGCTCACTTGACCTGTTCTTTCCTGCTTGATCCACCAGTGGTTCAGTCTGCCAGTAGCAAGACATACTAATTACTGCCCATCATAAACATGTTAATCTTTACAGAAATCTACCTACTCCTGTTTTGAAGATGTTATTCTTCTAGTTTTATGAGAAAATGGTCAAATTTATTTACCAGGTTCACACAGCTATGGGGACAGGATTCTCAGCCAATTGATTATACTGTATTTACCACCATCACTGAGCAAGGTGTTCACTGCTATCTAGTTTAAAGTTATGTTCATTTATAAAAACATGCTCGTTGCATGTCCAAAGTTTTTAAGCAGTTGGTCTCGTTCAAACTAAAAGAGTTAGCAATGAAAAAAAATTTTTTAAACAACCAGGCATGGTGGCACACACCTCTAATCCCAGCACTCTGGAGGCTGAGGCAGAAGGATTGTCATGAGTTCAAGGCCAGTTTAGACTACACAATGAGTTCAAAGCTAGACTGAATTACACAGCAAGACTCAAACTTATAGCTGCCTTTTTTTTTTTTTGCACTTACTGTGTTTTTGTGCACCTCTGTGTAAGTTCATATAATTGAATGCACACAACAGCCCTCCATGAAGGGAGATCAAGGCCAGTAGACTACACAATGAGTTCAAAGCTAGACTGAATTACACAGCAAGACTCAAACTTATAGCTGCCTTTTTTTTTTTGAGCACTTACTGTGTTTTTGTGCACCTCTGTGTAAGTTCATATAATTGAATGCACACAACAGCCCTCCATGAAGGGAGGATATGGTCCCTTTGTCATTATGAAACTGGCTTAGAAAAGTATCTCTCTGTGCTATAAATGATAAATATTCAAACAAGCCTGCCTGATTCCAAAGCCTGTGCTTACAGATTTGAAAACACTGTCTCCAACCTTAACATTGACATCTGAAGGGTATTTTTATAGGAGCTTTATATGTTGGACAGTTACAGTGGATCCCAGTCATATATATCCTAAAACATGAGATTTCATAATTGCTGTCTTCATCAAGGGAAGGAAGTGGAATACAATGTCATTTCTTATTAGATAAAAAACATTCAGGAAATTGATACCAACTGAACTCTTGACACTTTATTTTAGGTTTCAGTTCTTCAGTCTACAAAGGACCCTTCTAAAAAGATATGTGTTGCTAATACACATCTCTACTGGCATCCCAAAGGTAAGTTTTACTGTATTTGGCTTCACAGTGACTTCAACAGTGATAAATTTGTTAAAATGCACACAGTATATACAGTATCTTGAATGTCACTCAGATTCTATAGTTTGTGAGGTTGGATTTTTTTTTTTTTCTTTTTTTAGTTAAAGACAACTTTTAGAAGTATTTACATTAATTTATTTTATAATTTTTATTCCTAGGTGGATACATTCGTCTCATTCAGATGGCAATAGCCTTGGCTCACATTAAACATGTCTCATGTGATCTGTATCCTGACATTCCTGTTATATTTTGTGGGGACTTCAATAGTACACCATCAACAGGAATGTATGAGTTTGTCATCAATGGCAGCATTCCAGAGGATCATGCAGACTGGGCTTCCAATGGGGAAGAGGAAAGATGCAACATGTCTCTCAAGCATTTCTTCAAATTGAAAAGTGCTTGTGGTGAACCTGCTTACACAAATTATGTGGGTGGCTTTCATGGGTGTCTAGATTACATTTTCATTGATTTAAATGCTTTAGAGGTTGAACAGGTGATCCCATTACCTAGTCATGAAGAAGTTACCACCCATCAGGCCTTACCTAGTGTTTCCCATCCCTCTGATCACATAGCTCTTGTATGTGATTTAAAATGGAAATAGATTTGCTTAATGGCATTTGTTTAAAGTCTGAAAAGGAAATTACCTACTTTGTAGGAAATTTAATGTAACCCCCAAAGAGGACCTCTAGCCACTAATATAAACCTTATGTTCATTCCCTCGTAATGTTCCAGATGTCTTTGTCACACACTATTCATGTTTGCACTTTATAGTTTCTCTACCTTTTTTTCCATAAACTTGGAAGAAAAACAAATATATTTATGACTAGCAAGAAGAAAACTGAATTGTGTACATTTTCAGAAGTGATTTTTTAAAGCTGGTAATTAAGAATTTTTAAAATACCCTTTGAATGATCTTTCATAACACATTTCAAATTGAATCATGTTTCTATAATTAGGGGAAAGGAAATGCACACAGGTTAAGGTGGGAGACTTAAGTTCTGACACATGGAAGGAATAACTTGAGGGCCTGCCTCTACCTCAGTTTGGTCAGCGAATTATTACAATTTCAGAGCTTTAACGAAAAATTAAAACATACCATCACCAACTTTTATTTCATCTCCTTCATTTTTCAACTAACAAAATATTTGCATTCTTTAGTTTTTAGTACATGGTATGCAGGGACATAATATATTTTCATTCATACTGAAGCTCATTTTAATTTTTAGGATGTAAGCAGTTTAATATTCATAGTGAGCAATGACATATTCATTATCTTCTAGTCTATGAAAAATGTTCATAAATCAACAGGGTATCAGACTGTGATATTAGAGAATACAGCACAATACGTTATTTTATGAGAAACTGTCTACCAGTCAGGCTGGAAAACTTTAGATGAAGCATTGAGCATTTCTACATTACAAGTATTTTCAAATTTTTGTTTTTATAAATAGGAAAAAAGGGGCCCGGGATTTAGCTCAGGGGTACCACCACCTGCCTAGCAATCGTAAGGTCCTGAGTTCAATCCCCAGTACCAATAAACAGGAAAAAAGTAGTAGCATTATTCAGCATATCTGAAATAAAAACTTTTTATAGATGAGCATTATAATTGAGTTGCAGAACAACACTGTATATATAAAACATTGTAAAAGAAAATTTATGAAGCCAAACTCAAAACTAGAAACAAGGGGTGGACTAAATAGTGTCCACAAGAGTAACCAAACTTGACTGACTCATTCATCACCATACTTTATTTTTAATCCTTTAGCTGTTGCTTTTGATGTTTAGGATAACTGTAATGTTATCTCATATTCTGCATTTAATCTCTAGCTCAAGTATTAAAAGCCTACTCGCCTCAAGAAAAGCTCTGAGTCATGAAAGCCCATGTTTCCCATTCTTTAATCTCTGAAGCTAATACCATAAGAAATGGTTCTCTTGTTAATGTAGTCTGTACTTTCACATCCTGCTGTCAAATGTATTGTTAACTCTTAGTTTAATAAGTTTGAAAATGAGATTTTCCCAGCACTTCATATTGAACCTTGAAGTACTTGAAGGAAAAGATTAAAGAGCCAGTTTATTGGGATCTTATTTAGAAAACACTATAAATGAATAAATTGATGCTACCAAATTGTGCCTTTGTAAGTACCATTTTTGAGAGCATTTTAACAGCAGTTTATAAATATGCAAATAAAACTAGAATCTGATTATTTTTACAACATACTTTTTTCCTTCCTTTTTTAAAAAAGATTTTTATTTTTTCACGTTAGGGTCTCACTATGCAGCTTAGGCTGGCCTTGAACTCTTATGTAGCCCAGGCTGGCCCTGAACTTGTGGTGATCAATATGTAACCTTTTGCATCTGGCTTTATTTAGTTGGCTTTTATGGTTCATCCTTGTTATAGTATGTATCAGTACTGATTGCTTTTGTGGCTGAATAATATTCCATTAAATGGATATACCACATTTTGTTTAAGTTAAGTGGACATATGGATTCCTGTCTTTTAGCTGCTGTGAACATTTGCGCACAAGTTGTTGGTTTGAACATATACTTTAAATTGTTTTGGGGTATATTCCTAAAGGTAGATTGCTGGGTCATATGGTAATTCCCTTTAACCTTTTGGGAAACTGCCAGCTTTCCACAATGGCTGCACTATTTTATATTCTCCTAGTGATGTACAAGAGTTACATTTTCTGCATACCATCACCAATTTATTTGCTTTTTAAAAAATAGCTATCCTAGTGGATGTTAAATGGTACCAATGCATTTTTAATTTTAGTTGAATTATCTTTGTTGTAGTCATGAACTAATTATTCACAATGGTTTACTCACCCTATTTTTCTAGACAGCCCATCTAGAGCAATTCCTACTTATTTTTATAGGCTTTAGCAAGTGGAAGTTTCCTTTGAGGAGATCTGGGAAGACTAAAGTTACAAAATTACCAAAGCATTAGGTGCAGGATACACCTGTAACTCCAGCTGCTTGAGATGGGGAGGCAGGAGGCTTGAAAGTTCACCTGCTAACTTCACAAGACAAAAAAATAAAAAGGAATTGAGGTATATTTCATTGGTAAAACACCATTGGTGGTTTAATCCCTAGTACACCAAAAAAGCCAAAAAACTCACCCATGAGTACAAAAAAAAAACATGAGTACAAAATAAATCAGAAGCCTCAAATTTAAAAAGTCCTTTTAAAAATATGAGTCTAGATCTGGGGTCTTAGCTCAGTGTCACTGCACCTGCCTCAAGCTCAAAAGCCCTGAGTTCAATCCCCAGCAACCCCAAGAAGAGTCTACAGTGATGTTTCAGAGGACTTGCTTACTCAAATTGGCTTTTAAGCAGTTAACAATGCTCTACTTTAAATCTCAATTTACATTCACAGGAATAGCAAGCAAGAATGTCTAAATACTCCTAAGAAAAAAATTATATTCTGCCTCTAAAAAAATTTTTGAAAACCCTAAGTTCAAGAAAGGCTTTAAATTTTTTTAAAAAATGGACTTAACAGATGTCTACAGAGTGTTCCACACCACAAAATCAGAATATACATTCTTTTTGGCTGCACAGGTCATTCTCCAAAATAGACCACGTACTAGCTCATAAAACAGGTTTAAATAAATGCAAAGCAATCAAAGTTATCTCATGTATATTATCAGACCGTAGTACAATTAAGCTGGAGATCAATAGCATAACAAACCTTAAAAATGGCACAAACACATGGAAATTGGACAACACACTCCTGAACAATCAATGGGTCACAGAGGAAATTAAAGAAGAAATTAGACAGTTTTTACAAATTAATGATGCCAATACAACATACAGGAAATCTATGGGACACAGTGAAAGCAGTTCTACATGGAAAATTCATAGCAGTGAATGCCCATGCTAGGAAAACAGCGAGCTCAAATAACCTAATGATGGATCTTAGGCTCCTAAAAAAAGAAGAGCAAGAAAAACCCAAAGCTCATACAAGGGAGGAAATTATAAAGATCAGAGCAGAAATCAGTGCAATGGAAACTAAGAATGCTTAAAAAAAATGAATCAAAAAGCTGGTTTTTTGAAAGAATAAATACAATCAATAAACCCTTAGCCAACCTGGTCAAAAAAAGGAAAGAAAAGGCTCAGCTCCATACAATTAGGAACAAAAAAGGTGAAGTCATAACAGATCCAGCAGAAATCCAGAGGATCATCAATACCTATTTCAAGAACCTGTAGTCCATTAAAATGGGAAACACAGAAGAAATGGACAGATTTCTTGATACTTATGAATTACCAAAGTTGAACAAAGAAGATTAAAAAAAATTCTAAGCACCCCAATTACAATCAGTGAAATTGAAAACGTAATTAAAAGTTTACCAACAAAGAAAAGGCCAGGTCCTAATGGCTTCACTGCTGAATTCTATAAGACATTTAGAGAAGTACTGCCACTACTCTTTAAACTTTTCAATGAAATTCAATGGGAAGCAATACTTCCAAATTCACTTCTGGAAGCAAGTGTTACTTTGATTCCAAAACCAGGGAAAGACCCAACCAAAAAAGAGAACTACAGGCCAATCTCCTTAATGAACATAGATGCAAAAATCCTCAATAAGATACTGGTGAACAGAATACAGAGGGTCATCAAGAACCCTGACCAAATCAGATTTATTTCAGGGATACAAGGATGGTTCACATATGTAAATCAATAACTGTAATATACTATATTAACAGAGTCAAGGACAAAACCCATATGATCATCTCAATAGATGCAGAAAAAGCATTCGACAAAATTCAACACCCATTCATGATAAAAACCCTACAGAAAATTGGAATAGATGGTCTTTATCTCAACCTGATACAAGCTATGATAAACCAACAACCAACATCATATTAAATGGCCAAAAACTGAAAACCTTCACGCTAAAATCAGGAATAAGACAAGGATGCCCACTATCAACACTCCTGTTCAATATAGTTCTGGAAATAGCCACAGATATGGATATGAGAAAGAAATCAATAAAGATAGGAAAGGAAGAAGTTAAACTGTCATTATTTGTTGATAAGATATTCTACAGAGAAGGCCCAAAAAACTGCCAGAAGACTTCTAGACTTAACTGACACTTTCAGCAGAGTAGCTGGATACAAGATCAACACTCAAAAATCAATAGCCTTCTTGTACCCAAATAACAGACTCACTGAGAAAGAAATTAGGGAAACAATTCCTTTCACAACAGCATCCAAAAAACTGAAGTATCTAGGAGTCACTCAAAGGAAAGAAGCAAAAGACCTCTACACTGAAAACTACAGCACTCTGAAAAAAGAGATATAAAAGGATATAAGAAAATGGAAAGACATCCCCTGCTCCTGGGTAGGAAGAATCAACATAGTGAAAATGGCCATACTACCAAAACTACTATACAGATTCAATGCAATCCCGATTGAAATCTGGCTCCTGGTGAGATACCACTTTCTTGAACCTTGATAAGTCCCACTTCCAGGAATGGATTACATTGATACACTTTTTTTTTCAACTTAGTGCATCTCTGGCCTTTGCTAAAAGTTATGACTCACATATCTGAGTAGGGAATAAAAAAGGGCAAAATGAGAATTTTTAGAGGAAAATCTAGAAATGGTCACTGAGAAGATAATTCCTTGGTGAAGAAAAGCTTTTTATAATTTCTAAAAACACCAACATCTCTATGTATCACTACCCTAGCCCTACCACAAGGAAGGGTAACCAACCGCAAGGGAATTGTGATTAATACCAACCCCAAATTGGTAGCTAATCACTGATTTTCTCCCCATACATTAAATGTGCTAGATTTAGTTTAATCTCAAACTCCAAAACTTCAGTTGATAGTAATCATATTCATAATGAAAAAAGCTACTGTCACAATCAAAACCAAAAGACCAAAGAAGCCAAAGGATAAGTGAAATAAATAGGACACATATGTGTAATACCAAATAGTTTTTCTAGTGTGAGAAACTGAAAGTATACATAAGGACTAAAAGGTATAACAGATAATGTGCAATAGGAAGAAAAGGTGCAAAGGGGAAGGGGAAACGCATAGGGGAGAAGAAAGACGGGAATGGAATTAACGTGAGAAAAAGAAAAAAATGGAAACAAAGTCTCGTAGATAGAAAGGCATGGAGAGGTTGAAGGGAGAGCAGGAGAATGGGAAAAAATAAGAACCAAGATGGATTACGTAAAGATGCAAATTCTCAATGATGAATGTCATTCCACTGTATACCTTAAATGTACCAATAAAATTAATTTTAAAAACCCAAAACCATTAAACTAGTAACGCTTTAAAATATAAGGTAAAGAGGCCAGAGATTTAGCTCAGTGGTGCTGCTGCCTGCCTCACAAGTACAAGGTCCTGAGTTCGACCCCTGGTACAAAAAAATAGATATATATATATAAATATATTACATATATGGTAAAAACATCTGCTAGTTAGCCATCCTGGCTATACTGAATGATCGAAGGCAGATGCTAGAATTTAATTTTACATAT